AACTGGAGACCATTATCCTAAGTGAAGTATCTCAGGACTGGAAAAACAAACACCATATGTTCTCACTGATAAGCGGTAGCTAAATGATGGGTACACATGGGCACAAAGAGATGTAAAGGACATTGGAAACCAAGAAGGGGGAGGCCAGGAGGGGAAGTATGGGATAAAAATTTACCTATTGGCTACAATGAACACTGTTCTGGTGACACACCAAAAGCCTCGATTTAAGCATTATACAAGATATCTAAAAGAAAAAAAAATTGTTTTTGAGGCATCAGAGCTGAGTGGTCAGGAGAATTAGGGTTGCGCTGATGGAAGTAGAAGTTCAGCAAGAGAAGCTTACTGATGGGAGAAAGATGGTAAGTTCAGTTTGCAGCCACACTAAGGTGCTGGACAGAAATCTATGTGGAAAGGTCAAACAGACAGGGGGACAGAACTAAGGAAATGGGAGTCATGAAAGAGGAAGGGAATGAGGCTTCCAAGAGGGAGATCATAGAGAGAAAATAGGGAAGCCCCTTGAGGGCCTGCAATCTTACGGGACAGGCAGAGGAGAAGGAGCCAGCAAAGAGAGAGAAGAGTGGTCAGTGAGCAGGAGAACTCCTAAGGAATAAAGGTTTTCACTAAAGAGAAGTTTTCCAGTGTCAGGGGCTTGCAATGGGGGAGAAGCCCTTTGGGTAGCGTCGCGAGCCACTGACTTTGAATGAGCGTGCTCAGCCGGACTGCAAGGGATAAGGGAGTTAAAAGGAGGCAGTAAAGGAGAGGCAGACAATATGCTTTGCTTTATCCAGGAAAGGAGAGAACAGCGATACTCATGCAAAGGCAGATATAGAGGAGGTCCCATACTGTCTTTGGTGTTGCACATTTTAGAGTTAAATGTTTTTCACAGTAAGGATGTACTTACTAAGACCTAATTTAAGTCTTCCATTTAAAATTTTATACAGAGTCCTAGTTTCCCCAAAGACTGGGAAAGATAACCTACAGTTTTGTTTTTTCATTAGTTTTATTGAGATATAATTTACACAAAAGAAAATACATATATTTTATGTGTACAGTTTGGTGAGTTTTGATAAATACATATACCTGTGTAGCCACCACCACAATTAGAAGGAGAACCTAATTTTGTTATCCATGTTAATATTTCCCAGGAACACAGTGGCTCCACCGTACCCTCCATTTTGAACAGGATGCAAACAAACCAGACTCCTCCAACCTATAACAAAACCAACAAGTTTACCTATGGCTTTCAGAACATAGTAGATGCTTACGGAATTGGAACTTACCGAGAGATCAATCCAGGTAATAAAGGCTTGTGTCTTCTTCCTCTAGAGGTTTTTGTTTGTTGTTCTTTTAATGCCTCCCTTTAAATACTATTTAACAACTGGCTTAAAATGGAAGATGTTGTCAAGACCTCAGCTTTTTGTAGTTCCTGTGAAGAGGTGCCCATTTGACATAAGGAGCAGGTTTATTGCCAGGTAGCACTCCTTTACGAGCTCATTTGATTGGATTCTTCCATGTGCCCTCGCAGCTGTAAAACACCAGGGCTTCTCTAGCAAACCATCTGCGGGAGCTGTTTTAAGTAAAATACTTCTTCCAAGATGTCTGATATTTTAAAATGGCTTCTTCCTGGCTTCCCAGTTCAGAGTTATACAGAGAAAATGTAGCAATAATTGACCATTTTAGGCACAACGCAGATTTCTCCTCTGTTTGGAGAGGAGAATTATTCAATCAAGAGTGTGAACGTTTGTTTCCAGCTGGAGCTTGATGCAGGCTTGCTTTGCGCTGGTTCTGGGCTTACCCGGACTGCCTGGTAGCTTTATTCAGCTGGGAAATGGTTGCTATACAAAGAGAATACAGCTAGCCTGCCCCAGGGGCAGTGTCCCCGGAGTTAGAAGGAGGGAATCAAAGAACAAACCACAGTGTTGCCAGGGCTACACCTTCATTTCCTGTGTTCTTTGTTTAAAATGTTATCAGTAGCTCAGATTCCATTAGAGGCTTTGTGAGGGTGTGTAGATCCTGCCATGAAAGATTTTCCCTGTCTGGCAGCTGGGGAATAAGTCACTTTATAGTGATCTTAGAGTATGGAAAAGAATGTGAGATATGGGGAATTGTGGTTTTATGCACTTTATGTTTTTCTTTTTTTTGATTTCTTTATAGCTCCATATACCATCATCACTTTCCCTTTTCTGTTTGCTGTGATGTTTGGGGACTTTGGCCATGGCATTTTGATGACCCTTTTTGCTGTGTGGATGGTATTAAGGGAGAGCCGGATCCTTTCCCAGAAGAATGAAAATGAGGTAATGTTTAAGTTACATCTGCACTGGATTGAAATTCTATTTTAATTTCTCAAACATTCATTATGAAAATTTTGATTTGGAAATCTTTTATCCATGAATTTATCAAAAGAGAATAGAGGA